CAACCTCCGCCTCCTGGGTTCAGGCAATTCTCCTGCCTCAGCCTCCTGAGTAGCTGGGATTACAGGCACGCGCCACCATGCCCAGCTAATTTTTTTTTGTATTTTTAGTAGAGACGGGGTTTCACCATGTTGACCAGGATGGTCTCGATCTCTTGACCTCGTGATCCACCCGCCTCAGCCTCCCAAAGTGCTGGGATTACAGGCTTGAGCCACCGCGCCCGGCCAATTTTTTTTATCATATTAGCAAATTATATGATAAATTATAAATTCTATGAAAAACAGATAAGGTCCTATTGGCAGAGAATAATAATAAGACAGTCAGATAAAGCCTGCCTGAGGAGGGGTTTCAGGGAGGAGAAAGTGCCAGTCATGTGAAGAGATGGTGCTGGGGCGAGGAACCCAGACAGAGGGAGTGGGTTGGGGAGGCCCTGAGGAGCTGAGCCTGCTGCCTCTGAGGAATAGGAAGCTAGCCAGGGTGGTAGGGGTCCCACACAAGGGACTGCAGCTGGGCAAGGGCCAGAATGTGCAGGATTTAGTGAGTTTAGATTTTATTGGAGGCCCAGCAGCCACTGAAGGGTTTGTAGTCATGAGAATGACATAGTGAGATATACATTTTTTAGAGGTGACTGAATGCTGCATGGAGAGCAGGCTAGAAGTGGAGAGTCCAGTTAGGAGACTTCTATAATATAGTCTTGGTGGGAGAAAATAGCAGCTTGGATTGGGGATGTGAGTGACAATGGGGAAAGGGGAGGAAACCAATTCCAACCATGTGTGACCCCAAATTAACAGGCGTTGCTGGCAGTTCCTCATAAAGTTTCAGGCGAAGACAAGGTTGTTCAGCCTTATCTGCACCCAATGCTGTAGGAATTCAAGTTCCTTTGCCCGTGATCTGCCTCAGCCCACCCCACCCCACATGAAGGCCTGGGATAGGCAGAGATGTGAGCGGACAGGCCCTGGAGAGGGAATGGACACTCCACATGCTTCCACTTTCTGCTGCGTGAGCTGAGCTGCAAGTTCATAGCCCTTGGGAACGTGGAGAGTTGGGGGGTCTTCGTGTTCTATTCCCTTCTTGGCCCCTCAGCCTGGCCCTAACATTCTCTTAAACTCTCAAAAAGGGAGGTGGCAGCGGCTAAACAGGTTGGAGTCATAGGATATGAAGTCCATTTATGTTCTTTCCATAGATAGAAACCCTAGGCTTTGATTCACACTGTTTTCTGGGCATCCAGCACTGCAGTGGAAATGTCTGCTCTTGGGGTTTCTCAAGGAAAAGACCCATGGAGGTCAGAGCTGGCCTCTGTCGAGGTCATGGCACCTCACAGAGCTGGAGAGAGACAGAGCAAGTACTTGCTGATGTGGCAAGATTTCGGGAGCACAGAAGAGCTCTTGGGTGGGAAAGTGTGTCATTGATGTGAAAATTCACCCAAAGAACGACTGCCCCTTAGTTCCAGGCAGGGGTTGCTGTGAACAGCTCTCCTTGGGAGGGGTAATACTCTCATGGTCCTTGGTGTACACGAGCTGAGAATAGGCCTCACTGGCGGAGAGGGGAGCATAGGATACTGGGAACCCAGATGAAACAAAGGGACCCCAAGAACTGGCAAAGGAACAGAAATGGGAGAGATCTAGTGTCAAAAATCCACTCCTCAGCTTCACAAAGTGATCTGGAGCCAGGAGGGCTGCCCTCATTCAACCCAGCACACACCCACTGCAAGTCCCTCTTGCATACAGGAATGTGAGAACAAAGCAGGTGGAAGGCCCTGCCCACATGGTGCTTATAATCTAGTAGGGGAAACAGAGCATGTCCTCAAATAGGCCAGATACATGGAAGAGGTGGGGACTGGCTGAGGGTTGTTAGAGATCAGAAGGAGCAACTATTTTACGGGAGAGGAGGCAGAATTGATGTTAGCCTTTGGAAGCTGTGAGGTGGACAGAAAGGGCCTACTAGGGACAGAAAGCTCATGAGCTGAGGCCCACAGGAAGATTTGAGAAAATGTTTGACTTAGCAGGAATGTGGGGTTAAATGGGGTAAAGATTAATCCATTCACTTATCTCGCAGATACTCGCTGAATGTTTGAGAGGTGCCAGACAGTCAGGGGAGAGCAGCTAACAAAATGGGCAAAGTCCCTGATCTCAAGGAGCCAACATTTGAGTAGGGGGAGATAGGCAACAGAAATGTAAACAAATAAGGCTAGTTCAAATTGGGATGAGGCAGCAAGGACAATAAAATGCGGTGATGTTTTAGAAAGTGACCGGATCCGAGGTCAAGAAAGCTTTCTCTAAGGCAGCAGCATTTTAGTTGAAACCTAAATGACTATGAAGTCAGCCTTTCAAGATTGAGAGGAAGGGCACTGCAGGCAGAGGCAGTGGCAAGTGCAAAGGCGCAGAGGTGGGAGCAAACCTGCAGAAGCGTGGCGAGCAGAACGCAGCCTCTGCCAGGGAGTGCTGGCCCAGTTACATTGCAGGCCATGGAAGGGAAGCTGGACTTCATTTCAATGGGAAGCCACTGGAGGATCCTAAGAAGGGGAGTGGCATGGTCTGATTTCTTATGTTTATTTTTTTTGAGACAGAGTCTCACTCTGTTGCTCAGGCTGGAGTGCATGGTATGATCTTGGCTCACTGCACCCTTCACGTCTTGGTTCAAGTGATTCTCCTGCCTCAAACTCCTGAGTAGCTGAGATTACAGTACAGGCACATGCCACCACACCTGGCTAATTTTGTATTTTTAGTAGACATGGGGTTTCACCATAGTTGTCCAGGCTAGTCTCGAACTCCTGACCTCGGGCAGTCCACCTGCCTTGGCCTCCCAGAGTGCTGGGATACTGGCCTGAGCCACCAGGCCCAGTCTGATTCTTATGTTTAGAAGCTCACTCTGGCTGCTGTGAGGAGCATGGGGGAGGAAAGAGGAGGCCCAGTGAGAGGCTGTTCCAGCCATTCTGGCATGTAGTGGCAGGGACAGGAGGACACACAGAGCCAGCTGAGGGCTGGGGAGTGAGAAAGGAGAGTGAGAGGAGAGCTGGTCTTCATTTAGGAGTGTTGGGGTCCTGGGGGCTGCTAACCTGATGTGACCCATCCAGGGACCTGGAGTGACCATGCTCCTGCACGGGTGGGTGCAGATGTGGAAGCAGAGTCCTAGGTCTGTCTTTGAGGTCTGTGCCAACTGCAGGAGTACAGGACTTTCCTAGGGCTCCCTGTTGGACCTGGAGAGCCCAGGGCCGATGTGCTACCCCTGAGGGTGGGGTCAGTGCTTCACTTACTGAGATGCGGCAGCACCTAGCACCTGTGAGCACTTGGTATGGCATGGCTGATTGACAGAAACACCAGAGGGAGGAGGCTGGACGAGTGCCTACTCAGGACATCTCTGCAACTCCATCTCTACCCTCTTCTGAGCTGCATTCAGGAACTGGTAAAATGTCAAAAGCCTCCTAAGAGCAACTCTAAAAGGTCTTCGGAGGTCATGTATTTTAATAATCATAGGACTATCTAAAGGACAGAAAATGCTGGCTGAGGATTGGAAAGACCCTAAGGGAAATAGAAGCTTAGATTCATTGGGCATCTAACTATATTAAATAAAAAAAATGAGGCTCGGAGAGGTGAAGTGACCTTCCCAAGGAGAGGCCGGTTGGCTGCCTGACCACCTCTGCCCAGATGAAGCCTGGCCACTCTGCCTGTGACCCTCTTGCCCAGAGGAAAGGCCCACCTAAAAAGAAGGCTTCCAGGTGAATCCAAATGCAAAGGAAAAGACGGGTGGCATCACCTGTGCTTCGTTCTCTGCCGGGTAGCACCAGCAAAGCAAATGAAGAGTTGAAAACTGTGTCTGAGAAACCAGCCCTTTAGAGCTAGGGCTGTGATGTGTATGGGTTGGGCAGATGTGAGACATCTATCCCACCAGATGCAGGAGCATCTGGATCTCAGTCACGGATAGACAGGGAGTCAGCCACCATTTCAAGTGGCATGCCAGGCCTTCATTCCCTGCCTCACACATGGTGCTTGTGCACACACCCACACCCACATCCTGCCTGAAAAAGAGCTTTCCCTAGCTTTTAGCCTCTGGCCTCCCAAGACCCCAAGCAGTAGCCAAGGGTTGGGTGATTCTGGTGGCCCATCTCTAGAATCCCCTTAAATGTCACCTTTGCTTTAGGACTTGATTGCCATCCCCTGGAACAGGTATTGGAAGTGTGGTTAGAACTTCTCCTATGACATCAGCACTGCTCCTGCAGTGGACCTCTAGGGAGCATACAATTCTCAGAGGACCCATCCATGTAGGGTCGCTTGTGGTCTGCACAGTAGGACCCAGGTGAGGCTCTAGAATCTCCATGACAGCAATGCCAAAAGATATTCCTTTCCCAGATTCCCTTCCATTCTTCATTGGCAAGGTAGAAACCAAATTTTTGACAGAGAAATTAGATGTGTCAGTGATTCACCCCCTTACAGTGTGATTAAGCTGCGTTTGATCATCTGCACTCTATGTAAAGACTACGAAAATTCAGGAGAACAGAAGTGTTCAGGAAATAGAGCCAGCACATCAACATGTTAGGACTGATTTCCATCTTTGGGAGGACATAACAAAAGCTGGGTCTTTACCAGAAAGCAGGGGACAAAAAGAAGCCCAACAATTACCTGATGTGCTGTGAGTAGGGACAAGAAAACTGCACCAAGAATCTGCGGATAAATTATTCTTGGGTAATTCTGACTCTTGATGCAGAGGAGCCCACACACAACTGTCTCACAGGTGCCTGTTGCCTGGCTGCCTGGTTGCCAAGTAGAGGAGGAAGATACAGAAAATTCTGTTCCCTTACAGTGCATTTGACGTCACTACAGTAATTTAAAAAAAAAAATCAAGCACATTTAGACATTTCTTCCTTTTAGATATTCTCTTTGAAGAAGCAAAGAGGGAGGAATTTAGGTGCAGTTCCAGGCAGCATACAATTCTCAGAGGACCTCCGGGCCGCCTGTGCATCGTGAGCAGTGGGCTGGGGGAAAGAGCTCCCATCCTAAAGGCTTTGTAGCTTGCAAGGCTCAGAACAAACAGATTTTAGTTCATTACTTATCTGATCAGTATTCACTTCCTAGATTTTTTTTCAGTTAGGACTAACATTCTTTATTGTCCATTTAATATTAAAGATTTGGAATTTTCTACCTTTGACACTGGCAGCAACAGGTGCTAACCTGACATCAACAACGCAGGACTCTCTCTTGAGTTTGTTGCAAGAGGTCTCCAGAAAGGGGCTGATGGGACTGAGGTGTTTACCCAGCTCCTTCCATTCCAAATTAAATATTCAAATGGGGTTTATTCTGGGGCATTGTTAAGGCTTGAGCTTTAATTTAATGGAAATGGCATTGTCCCTGGAATAAAGGTTTCATTAGGCCAGCCCGCAAACTTTTCCCATTATCCTCTGGAGGAAACAATCTGGGTGACAGCCTGCCCGTCATAATCCCCGCTCCAGATTTATGGTGACAAAAGACTCTTAATACTGAAAATGTTCGGGGGGAGGAGAAACACTTCCCAAACAAGAAGCCTCTCCCTTCCAGGCCAGGTAACAAAGGGTCAGGAGGAATTTGGTGGGGGCCTCCTGGCCACCTGCCGGTTAAGCCCATGGTCAGTAGATTAACTGCAGCTCTGACTGAGTGTTTAGAAAGGCAAGTTACATGGCAGAGCAAACAAAATTCAGACTGCGCTTTACACATGGTAATCCCAAATTTAATAAGGCTTCACCACTGGGAAGCCAGAGCCCAGAAGGTAGCTGAGGTGTGGGGCTCTATTGTTCCCAGCCAGGGATGTCGCCATTGGTTGTCTGAGCAGCCTCTGGGCCCACCCCACTGGGGGTCTGCAGCCTCAGCTAAGAAAATTCCTCCTGATTCCTTGGGGGAGTCCGTTGTTTTCCTTCCTGCCAGGCTTCACTGGCCTTGTCCAGAGACAAGTCACAACTTTGCCTGAACAAAGTCCCTGCAGAAGGCTTGGGTGGTCAGAAAGCCATATGAGCTTCCAGCCCTGTGGGCTGTACCGGAATCTGCCTCCTGACCTGGGGACTCATCACAGATGGAACTGAGGTTTCAGGGAAGAGTCCTGGGAAGTCTGTGTTCCAGTCCTTGGTCAAGGCTGCTGAGGGCCTAGATGGTTGTGCCCTGTTGAATTTCAGACCTCTAAGGTGGGGGTATGTTGGGCAGATGTGGGTTATTTCTGAAATCATTATGAGCTGAAGGAATGTTTCTTCTGTGGCCATCTTCCCGGTTGTATTAGTCCATTTTCACACTGCCAATAAAAACATACCCAAGACTGAGTAATTTATAAAGAAAAAGAAGTTTAACGGACTCACAGTTCCTTGTGGCTGGGGACGCCTCACAATCATCATGGAAGGCAAAAGGCACTTCTTACCTGGTGACAGCAAGAGAGAACGGGAGCCAAGCAAAAGTGGAAACCCTTATAAAACCATCGGATCTCATGAGACTTATTCATAACCACAAGAACAGTATGGGGGAAGCCACCCCCATGATTCAGTTATCTCCCACTGGGTCCCTCCCACAACACATGGGAATTATGGAGGCTACCATTCAAGATGAGATTTGGGTGGGGAACAAAGCCAAACCATATCAATGATCATTCTTCATTGAACAGCTATTTATCAGGTACCTGCTATGTGCCAGACACTGTGTTCAAATGCTCAGGACGTTAAGGTGAAACAGAAAATAGACATGACCTTGCTTCACAAGGACCACAAACTGAGCTAAGTGCTGTAAAGGGAATTAGAATTGTCCCCTGAGCCCGTGCAATAGAGGGACTTCACAGAGTCAAGGGGAACAGGGAGGACTTTACTAAGGAAATGAGCAGCAACAGATATCTGAAGGGTACCTAAGGGCTAAGCCAGGCCAAGGATGGAAGCAGAAGAGAATGCAGGGTGAAGGGGAGCCCACCAGTGCCATACAGTGTCTCAACTAGATGTGTACAAGGAAGCTGGCCTCCCTCATTCTGACTCCTGGGGACCACAAGCCTCCACAAGAAAAAACCTGGGAAAAGCAGGGAATCTGGGAAAAACTCAAAATACAAAAATTAGCCAGGTGTGGTGGCATATGGCTGTAATCTCATCTGTTTGAGAGGCTGAAACAGGAGAATTGCTTGAATGAGGGAGGTGTTCCTAGTTTATGTGTAGCATTTTTAAGCGGGCCACGGGGTGCTGAGAATCTGTAAAGGCTGGGGAGACCCTAAACTTCAGATGAACCTCCTGGATCTGGGCACCAAGCTGCTGAAAGATGGAGCAATTAAAAATAAAAAAATAATAATCACTGTTCAAAAAGAGAATTTTCTGAATCTCCTTATTGTTCTAGATGGGAAAGCCAGTACACACGTTTGCCTCCCATCTTTCCAGAAATCTTGCTGAAATAGTTTTAGAATTTCAAAAAGATACAAACTTATAATACTAAGGAGAGGAGGAGGAGGTCACCCACAGAAAAGAGATGTAAGCAAACTTCTGGAATATGTGAAGTGTATGGGAGACGTTATTAGGGGAAACAGCTGATGACAGCCATCCAGAATGCTCTATGGGATGCAAGAGAGAAGATGGGAGCCGGTTCACCCAGGAAACCTCAGAAAGACTCAGGGAAGGTATGTACACAATTGTACAGTAAATCTACACCATCTATAGTGCTTTTATATCCCCAAATTTGGATTTACTGTGATGACTGAGGAAGCATATATGGAGAAATGAGAACATTTACATGAATGAAGTATATGAAAATAAACAAGCAGTTGCCCAGTGCAGTGGCATGTGTCTGTAGTTCTAGCTATTCTGAAGGCTGAGGCAAGAGAATCACTTGAGCCTGGGAGTTTGAGGACAGCTTGGGCAATGTAGCAAGACCTTATCTCTAAAAAAAACTAAAAAGCAGGAAAATATCATTCCTAGGGAAACAGAACTGGGAAGACAATACATTCTAAAAATGAGATCTTGAGAACAAAATGCGCTCTTGAAATTAAAAATGAAATTGGTGAAATAAAATAGCAGAAGGACTAAAAAGTTGAAATCTCACGAAGCATACAGCAGAAAGACAGAAAATAAGAAAATATGAGGGGGAAAATAATAAAAGACATGGAATAATTCAAAATCCAAAAGGCATCCTAGAAAGAAAAGAAAAAACAAAGTAATTAAAGGGGAGAGAAGTCTCAAAGCACAGAAGAACATTTCCTAGGGCTGAAGAAAGAATAGTCCTATGAAAAAGATCCACAACTAGACCAGAATCCTGGCAAAATTTCAAAGTATGAAGTAGAAAGAATAGATTGTAAAAGTCTCCAAAGCCAAAGAGCAGGACACCTAGGAATGAGCAGCAGTCAGAATGGCATCAGACTTCTCCTCAGCAACACTAGATGCTGGACGATAATGGGTGCTGAAGGAAAATGGTTTTCAGTCTAGAATTCTGTACACAAACTATCCACCAAGTGGAGGACAACAGAAGAGTTTTCAGACAAACAGGTACAGAAAGTTTACCTCCAACATGCTAATTCTTAAGAAGTTACTGAAGGCTATACTCCAGCAAAAACAAGACATAAGATGGAAAAGAGAAGAAAATCTGAGATTGAACCTAGGAAAGCCATAAAGAGGAGTCTCAAGGAGACAGTTGTGCAGCACCCTGGAGAGCAGCCTGCCATATTAGAGCGGGATCACAGAAGACTTAGACAAAGAGGGGAAAGGCAATTCTCAGTCGATTCAAGAACAAAATCTATTTAAAATTCAGATTTAAAATAAGAACAGAGTGGAGCATGGTGGCACATGCCTGTAGTCCCAGCTACTCAGGAGGCTAAGGTGGGAGAATAGCTTGAGCCCAGGAGTTCAAGCTCAGCCTTGGCAACATAGCAATACCCTGCCTCTAAAAAATAAAAATGAAAAGAAAATGAACATAATAGCAAATAATGCAAGCAAGAATAAAGGTGCCTGGAAACCCTATGGAGAAAAATTGTGTTTAAAAAAAAAGTCAAGTTCTGACTATGAAGCATACTAGGAGACATGGTATGAAGCAGCTGACAAAGTATAAAGAATGAGAACCCATTTGACTTGGTGCTGATAATACACTCTTTTTAGAGGTCCAGGGATCATGACACTGAACTTGAAGAGTAGGAAGTGGAATCCTAACATTACTATTGGTAAATAGGAATTGCACAATAATACAATAAAGCCAATATGATCAGTTTCCCATTTTAAGAGCCAAGCTTTAGACAAACCTTAGAAGACTAGGGTGTGTGGCAGGAGAGAACAGAAACTTTAACAACCTTAATAATGCAAAATACAACTATAGTGGCAGAAGGTGAGATATAGAAAGGAAAAGAAAGGTTAGAGGAGACGATATTTGCAATAATATTCTCAACTTGCAAAGCAGACAGTCAAGAGGCACTGGGGAAAGTTGATGGATCCATAAATATAGGTTTAAACATTTTATTAAGTTACAAAGGCAAACCATAGAAGAAGGGAATATCCAAATATTGAACATTGAAATTCACACTCAGAATCCTGCAGATACCTGAAAAACTGGTAAAAGCAGAGATAAAAGTACATTACAAGTATAATGTATATAACTCTATATGTTATATGGAGAAATCCACCTAGGTCCAGATAAAATACAATATTATACAGTATTTGGGTTGTATCTATTCATTGTTTATCTGAAATTCAAATTTCACAGGGTATCCTATATTTTTTTCTCCTAAATCTGGCAACTCTAGATTCTCTAGAAGAACTAAAGACTATAAGTATGTATATACTACTTGATCTGTAACTGTATGTTTGCATTATTTGGATAAGAATAAAAAATTTCAGATGTGCTCAGTCAAACCCTTATTTTGAATATATAGGAAGAGGTATCTTTATTAAATCAGCCTTGCCCTGTCCCACTTAATACATTTTAAGCAAGTAATTAAAGAATATTAGGGCCGAGCATGGTGGCTCTTGCCTGTAATCCCAGCACTTTGGGAGGCCGAGGTGGGCAGATCACAAGGTCAAGAGATCAAGGCCATCCTGGCCAACATGGTGAAACCCCGTCTCTACTAAAAATACAAAAATTACCTGGGCATGATAGTGTGCACCTGTAGTCCCAGCTACTCAGGAGGCTGAGGCAGGAGACTCGCTTGAACCAGGGAGTCAGAGGTTGTAGTGAGCGGATATCGTGCCACTGAACTCCAGTCTGGTGATACAGTGAGAGAGTATCTGGAAAAAAAAAAAAAAAAAAGAGCATTAGTTTGCAAGGATTCCACCTGTAAGCCTGTCAGGCACCCGTAGGACTTAGGTACTTCGGCCAAGTACACGCCAGATGCTGCGGGAGGTCCTTGAGTCTAGGAACTTGAAATTTAGCTGAAGAGGCAAGATACATATTGTGTACAAAACAGCAACTCTTTAAGGGAGGTTGGCTTCTATTACTTGAAGTTAGATGACTGGGGGAAAAATTTGGTAAAGGTGGTGACTGCTAAGTGGTACAGGGGCTGAGCTGAGGGAGCAGGTGAAAAGCAGAACAGGGTTGGTGATGGAGATGGGACTTAGAAGAGGAGGAGGATGGTTTGGAAAAGGAAGAAGCAGCAATTCCAGTGGCTGCTTTTAAAGACTGATTTAAACCCCACCTTAGGACTGGGCATGATGGCTCATACTTGTAATCCCAGCACTCTGGGAGGCCTAGGTGGGTGGATTGCCTGAGCTCAGGAGCTCTGGACAACATGGTGAAACCCTGTCTCTACTAAAATACAAAAAAATTAGCCAGACATGGTGACGCACACCTGTAATCCCAGCTACTTGGGAGGCCAAGGCAGGAGAATTGCTTGAGGCCAAGAAGTGGAGATTGCAGTGAGCTGAGATTGTGCCACTGCACTCCAGCCTGCACTCCAGCCTGGGCGACAGACTCCATCTCAAAAATAAAATAAATAAACCGCACCTTAGCAAAGGATCAGCTGTCTGCCTGCTCCCAACCTCTCCCAAATGTACCCCAACAAGCATCCCCATTTTATAGGTCTCCAGACCTTCAAAAGGCCTTCAAAAGGCCTTCAAAAGACCTTCAAAAAGCCCAACTAGTAGGTGAATGTCCAAGAGCCCTTCCAAAGTGATGAATCAATGGTCAAGAGGTGGCAGGGAACCACTGCTTTGGCTGGGTCTGAGCAAACCCTGGCTAGAGGTCTCCCAGGCCTGGCGGGCCGATAGGATAGGGCTAACCGCTAGGGAAAAGTCCCTTCCCTGATCAATTCAATGCGAGGTGTTAACCTTGTTTGACTTCTGATTTGAAAAAACATCTGCCAAAGTTCCTTTCTAAGACAAATGAGGAAATTTGAACATTGGCTCAATATTGGTGGGATTGAGAATCTACCATCTTTTTTTTTAAGTAATGAATTGTGCTTGTGTTTTTAAAGGGGACTTAACATATTCTGAAATACTTATACCTAAATATATGAGAATTAATTCAGTATAATCCAGTGTGGTCTTATTGCAGGGGGTTGTGTGTTGAAACTTGTGGCTATAAATTCCTGTACTTTAGTATGTGTTTAAAATTGACAGTCAGTAATAAAATCCCTCACTTAATATGCCTTGCTCTCTCTATAGCTAACAGTCCCTTAGACTAGCTTAGCATGTATGGTTTACATTTACATCAAATCATCCTCCTGATCCCTAGAATACCCCAGCTGGGCAGTTGGGAAGTTTTGACTCATGAGGAAACAGAAAGACAGAGACTCATGAAGGGCCTGACTTGGAGAGAGGTTCTTCCTCCTCTCTCAGGAGTTTAAGTGGCAGGAAATACCTTCATGGCTTACAAAATATTTCGCCTTTTTTTTTTTTTTGAGATGGAGTCTTGTGGCACAATCTTGGCTCACTGCAACCTCTGCCTCCTGGGTCCCGGTTCATGCAATTCTCCTGCCTCAGCCTTCCCAGTAGCTGGGATTAAGACATGTGCTACCAGGCCCAGCTAATTTTTATATTTTTAGTAGAAACAGGGTCTCACTATGTTGGCCAGGCTAGTCTTGAACTCCTAACCTTGTGATCTGCCCACCTTGGCCTCCCAAAGTGCTGGGATTACAGGCGTGAGCCAAGCCAAAATATTTTCCCTTTCTGAGTGCTCAGTGATACGTACTTCTGGCACTGCTTTGTTCCCTTATTCAACATATAGTTCTTGAGCATCTGCTGTTTGTCACACTTTCCAGGGTGGCAGAGAGAGAATCACCAGACATTTTTCCTACTTTCAGTTCTTCAGATATTTTTTCAAAATCAGATGGGATATTTTACCTTAAATCTGAACATTAACTAGAAGCTCCCTAGAGAGGTAGAAACCACAGCCCCTGACCCGGCCCATTCCCAAGAGCCTTAGCTCATTCCTGGATACCAAAACACAGGGCAGGGATCCCTTGATTCTGCCTTTGCAATCCCTGTCCCTCCCTCTGGGGAAAGACCCAGCCGGGCAGGAAACCCATGCTTGGGACAAGAACATCTTCCCCATGACCTTCACTGGAGGCCCCCACAACAGAACCTGAGCACCCCTTTGGTCTGCCACTGTCTTCTATATGGCAGTACCCCATTTTCTGAGGACAGCAAGCCCTCCAGGACCTGGGCCCTAGGCACCTGACTGGCAGCCGCCTGGCCACTGCAATGGCCCCAGTTCCCACTTCTCTGGGACGCTGGAGGGTCTCTTACCTTAGCTAGGTTGCCCCTGCTCTACCCTGTACTCAGAGGCCTCCAGCCGTCTCTCTTCCTTGGACAGCCTCTTGTCCACCAGGCATTTTGTGGTTCCTCCTCAGCACTCAGCACTGTGCCACCCTCCTCCTCCTCCTCCTTCTCCTCATGGGGCTGAAACAGCCACAGCTCATGTTTCTCGGGAGCATCTCAAGGAGAGGCCCCATGATGGGTGCATGCTTAGGTGGCCATTGTTCCTACTCTGGCCTTGCCCAACCTGCTTTCCTCCAGCCCTGCATGCTGCTCCCCTTCCCCTCCCTCTATCTTCCTCCATCAGTACCTCCCTTCTGTCCCTGGGCCTGGCCAATGACCTCAATGTCCCATCTCCTCAGGACTCACTCCGAAAGACCCTCTCATAGCCGAGGGGCTGGCCTCTGAGTCTTCCCCCACTGGTGGGCTCTGGCTGTCTTCCCACCATGTACCAGCTTGTGGGCCTGTCCTCTGTCTCTTCCTTCAACTTAGCTTGAGCCTACTCACTGAGTAGGGACAGTCCCATCCAATTCAAGGCCTTCCCACTGTTCATGTATCTTTTCCTGGAGCCAGGATTTAAAATTTGAGGTGAATTTATTGAGCATTTACTATATGCTAGAAAATGTGCTAAATACTTTCGTACATTATTTCATGTAATCTGCCTAACAATGACTTTTTAAATTAAATTCCCTCCAAGATATCTGAAGGTACTATTATCTTAGGCTTAGAGAGAGTAAGGAGCTTGCACAACCAAGGTTTAAACCCAGGCAGTTCATCTCCAGAGATGGCCTGAAGGCTGGGAGAAATGAGTAGCAATTACGTTATAAATAGAATCAGTCATGGACATAAGGGGATCCAAACTCTACTCTCACCTCTGCCACGAAACAGATATGGGCAAATCATTGAATCATTCTGAGCATCACTTTTTTCATCTTCAAACTGTGCATTGGAGCAGTAGGGATAACATAGACACTCATGGGATGCAGTATAACACAGTGATTAAGCATGTGGATTCCAGTGCTAGGTTGTCTGGGTTCAAATGGTAGTTCTGCTATTCATGAATTATGTGACCAAATTGTCCTGTGTCTCAGTTTCTTCATCTGTGAAATGAGTATGATGATAATAGTGCCTGGGGCATAGAGTTACAGTGAGAACTAATTGGTGCATATCTGGTAGAGCACTGCCTGGCATATAGCCACCATTAATATAAATATTATTATAACAATGGTCTGTTCATCAAAATTCTATAATTTCAGGATGCATTCAGACTTTTAGCACCATTCTTAATGTAGCCAGGATTTTCATGTTTAGAAATCAGGAGCTAAAGGTTGTTGTCTTTAATAATAAGAACAATCCTCCCACTTATAAGTCACTCCCTTCAAAACACATGCACATATCTTACATTAGGACCTCATAATTCTGGGAAGTCAGCAATAAAACCGTACACGTGTGCAGCTCTTCATGGTGACTGATGTATCTGAACCCACTTCCACTCACTTTGGCCCCACCCCACACTACGAGGCAGGCAGGATAGGCAATGTGCCCACTCAGGGACAAGGAGGCCTTCAGTCAGATGCAGTGGGTGACTTGCTTAAGGTCACACATTAATGGGCAGCTGAATCAGCAGTGACACTGGAAGATCCTAATTTCCTGTTCTCAAAATCTCTCCAGCAAGAAATCTATGTTCTGCAAGGTAGTTTGTGCTTCTGTGTGTGTTGGGTCCCCATAGACCTGAACCAGAATGTGGGTAGAATTCCCCCGTGGTAAAAAGAGATCCTTTCCTATAACCAAGGACATAACCAGTCTTTATCTAGAATGGAATCCCCTTTTCCATAGATTCTAGGTACCTAGGGTCAGTGTTACCTCACAAAGGGTGGGAAAAAAAGGTGGAGAAAGTGCTGGGCTCAGAGACACCCCTGTTCTCATTCCCTACGCTGACACTTGATAAGCTTTGTGGCCTTGGGCAAATCACCAGAGCTGTCTGAACTCTGAGAAATGTGGACGGGCACAATCACTTTGCAGGGAAGCTTAAAGAATGAGCAATGACCCATTGTAGGCATCAAGGAAGCGTTCAATAAATGATAGTTTAAAAACAAAACAACAATAACAACAAAAACTCCTTTCTCCAAAGGCCAGTATGGCTGACGGACCAGCGCCTGTCCTCACTTCTGCCCTTGGAGATGCTGGCGCACAGAACGGCGGCAGGCAACGCAGACAGGTGACTTTAAGTCCTGAAACATGCATTCTCACCTTGGGTACCTGCTGTTTTTAATGACTGATTCCCCCCGCCCCCCATACAACCATCATTTAGCAAATACCAGGGCTAGTTGTTAATTTAAAAACATCTTCAGCCTGTGCTTACAGAAACTGCCATTTCCCCCCTCGGGAATGAGTTTTTCGTTATGTTTTTAAAATTAGCTGGCGCTTGAATTTCATTTTCCATCCAAGCTTCCCTGTTATCTGTAAGGTCACAGAAACACGTAGGCCGCGGACAGTCCAATCCCAGATATTAGGCTCCCGGAATTAAAAGCTGAAATAAGTAAATAAAGAGAGAACGCCCAGGGATTTTTCAGAGCAGAAAGCCGGTCCCCAGCGTGACGCGGAAGCCAGGTTCCCTCCTCAAGTGGCTCTTCCCTTACATTTGGAGGTGAAGGCTGAGGAAGAGGAGGCCACAGAGAAGGAAACACGCCTGTGCCCTCTATCGCCAAGATCTGTTCCTTCTCCGCTCAGCAACGCGGAGGAATCAGAATGCATTCTGGAGGAAAAAGAAGAAAAAAACAAATCTAAGCGCTGATTGTCCCTTTAAGCCATTCCAATCACAGGCTCGCAGTTAAAATAATGCTCACCTACTGCGCTTCCAACTGGGCCATCTACCTTTTCCGCCGGGTCAGGCCCAGTCAAGCCTGAGGAAGCGGCCGCGGCCCCGGTGAGCCCCGCTCTAGGCCCGGCTACACCTGTTTATCACCAAGTCGCTTCATTTCCCTTCCCCTCCTCCCTGCTTGAAAAGGAGCATTAATTAAACCGGTAAACAAGCCGGCTCCCATTCTAAATCAGAGCTGCAGGCAAAGGAGAGATAACTTGGGCTCCGGAGAAGAGGGATTTTCAGTTAATTTATGGAATCCACCGTCACTCTCTCTCTCTGAGCAGCCAGCTCCCCGCTTAACGGGGAAATTGAAGCAGACAGCCTTTGTCTAAACACTTCTTTTGCCCAGAATATCTTAATTTTTCTATTTGAATGTTTAATAAGGTTTGGGGTACTGTCGCTTCCTTTTAATTGTGACGGGGCGGCCGCCTGGCCGTGATCCCCGGCCTCGGGCTGCAGGGGGGGCCCGTCCTCCCAGGGCGCGGAGGGAAGGACCAGAGCGTTTCCAAGTCAGGCTCTGGCCGCTGGCGCGAGAGCGAGGCCAAGGTTTGGGGGGACCCCGAAGTTGGGGCGGCCCAGAAACGCTTTGCCCACAGGCACCGCCCTTTCCTTTGTAAGTTTCCCCAGCCCCGTAGGTGCGGCCCGGCGCGGGCTCTCCTCCTCTTCCCCCCGCGAGCGCCCGCGCAGCCCGGGCCTCGTCCTGGGGGATCCCTTGGCTCAAGGGCTGGGCCAGCGCCGGTCTCCGGCCACTGCTGCGCTCACCGGCGCTGCCTAATTAATCTCTCCTCTAAGGGGGCTGTGTGTGCGTCTTCTTCCCAACTGATGTCTGGAATTTCTCAGTGTAAGGGGGACTCCCACCGAAATTGTAGTTTTCCTAAGATTACAGACAGTCCAAGAAAAACAGCTCGGTACGTCTTTGTCATTTCCTCCGTAAACCGTCAGGAAACAACACAGGAACGTCTTACACAGACTTCAAGTCAGCCTGCTTCCTCGGGTGGCGTATCCAGTAATCATGTTGACAAATTAATGGTAGAGAATTAGTTGTACATTAAAGATTTAAATTATATTATGCAGCACATTGTCATAAAGTGATATAAAACAATAGGAAAATAAATGTAAATGAATTCCAGTTACTGACATGTAAAACGCCAGACTGACATCTGTACACTTAGCGACTCGCTGCTCAGCCGCTGTGGAGGGGCCCGTGCTCTCCCTCCGCAGACTCGCGGGCCGGGGCCGGGGAGGCCGGCGGGGCCCGGGACGGCCCTGCTGCGGCGCCGCGGCGCGCCAAGGGTTAAGCGGCGCAGCTCGCGGCCCTCTCGGCTCCCCTCCCCTGCGTGCTGATTTTCAGGCCCACCGAGCCGCCCCGCCCGAGAAAGTTTTCCATTCGACGCGGCCGCCGCGTCTCGGGGGCTGAGCTCCTTAGAAAGCTTCGGGGGCCCCGGAGAGCCGCCTTGTGGGGAGGGGGCGGCTGCCCTGTCCCGGACCCGCTAATTACAGGGATTCGGTTTCCCGGCTCTGAAGGAATGCATTACCTGCAGCAAAGGAGGGAGGCGCGGCCTCTCAGGACGGCCCCGAGAGGAAGCTGAAGGCCCCCGCGCATTCCAGCCCCATCCCTAGGTTTATACCCGCAACCCCGGCCCACGCTGAGCGACTAATCGCTGGGCCATTGTCAGGGCTGTTGTCCAATCAGCCCCTGAATAGTGAAACTTCACAATGCCGAGTATGAATTAGAGGAGAACAAATGTGGATGCAGACTTTTTTTGCAACAATACCTAACTGAGCCTTTCAGACAGGACAACGGATGCACAAAAGCTCGACGGAAATTGGAGTAACTTTTGGAGGCCCTTGTAGCTGCCGTCAATAAGCGTCAGCCCCATAATGGCGGCTGGGCCTCCGCCACCCCCCCACACCTGCCCCACACTTTTTTTTTTTTTTTTTTTTTGGTGCGATGGATCAATTGGTCATGGGGTGGGGGGAAATTGTGGTAAAAATTGGGCATTTTTGTTGTCCTTGTCTTGCAAACGGTGGCTTTCTGTTGAACGCGGCCAAATGGATTGTCTCTTCCTGACCTGGATTGTAGATTTGGTCATTATCTAGCCCACATAAAGTACTGACAAGGCCCCCTCCCTCCCTCTACCCACCCCCAAAAGAACAGAATAGCTTCTTGAGCTATACAAATGTCAGGTCTCTGTTTTAAAATTTAGCTTTGTTTACCCAACAGAATGGAATTCATTACTGTGTAAAAGTGGCTCCATTTTCTGATCTTTTTATTCAAAATGTTGAGAGTATCAAAAAGCTCATTTGAAGGTCACAGGTTTATGTATCTATTCTCTTAAGTGTTTTAGAAATTCATAGGGAGGACACAAAAGGTGGAAAATGTGAAAACATACTGTTCATTGTTTATCCTAACCTTGCCATGGTTATTAGATAAATGAGTGTAGGGGAAAAAATGGCATTAAAAGCCATTGTGAACTGGGAATTTTTTTCCCCCTGAAGACTGTTAATTTTAGCCCTTGATCTGTAAAGGTCAATTTCTAATTCTTTTTACTGTGCAGTTTATATAACTTCTGCATTTCAAGTCTATAAAAAGCTTTTGCAGACTTTTCATAATGTAAGTAGCAATTTATTTCATTACGGTTTGAATTTTTTATGTAATTCCTATGGACATTCTGATGAAATTGTCAGGCTTAAAAGCCGTGGTGCTTTTCATTTGGGGATATGTGGACTTGTTTTTTTTTTTTTTTTTTTTTTTTTTTTTTTTGCTCCAATCCATTCTTGCTGGATAATTTAAAATTAGTAAGATTAATCAGTTCAGTGATTTAAAAGACCACACTTTGGTTGGAACAAGGTCTAAAGCAAAATCATTTTTTTTATTAGTAAATGATTTAAAAGGTCTTTTCAGCTAGTTATCTGAAGCTGATATTTAACTGTTACTTATTCCACTAATTTCTATCTTTTGTTAAAAGAACTTTCCAGCCTAAATCTCCTCGCTCTATCCCATGCTAATTGCAGCTTACATTATATAAATGGCTTTGTAAAGAAAACTATAACTCCAAACCTTGAAAGTTACGTGTTTCTATTTGCTCAAACTTGATGCACTTGTTTGAAGAGGGTCATTGCAGGGAGAGCTGTGTAGCCTGTAAGAATGTCCTGGATAACAAGCTTAAACAGAACCTTTTGTTGTGCCTAGTATTCTCAGGACTCCAAAATGAGGCCTCCTTTTTCTAACTGCGGGCTGAAGTGGTTCATTACTGCTGTTTCCTCCGCCAAGCCAGGGCTCAGCCATTCCCACTACTGAAGGTCTGTAACTTCCTTAAAAAGGAAGAAGGAAAACATGGCCCAGAAAGGTCTTGTTAGCACTTCCTATGTGAAATTAGCAGCTTTCTAAAAGGTACAACTCCAATTACCTCACATTGTGGAGGCGAGCACAAACTCAACAATATGCACAGCCTAGCAAGTGACATTCTGTCTTTCTAGAGTTACTTCCCTAATTAGGAATGAAGAAGCTCTATTCTGCTGAGTGCATCTATTTACAGTGGCCACAATGCTTTAACTTGAGCATCCTTCTCAAAGACCAGTGTTAAAAAACACAAGTGCTCTTTTCGCAGAGCAGGCTATGGTGAGGCGACACATTCCTAACGGTTACGCCCTCGGGGATGAAAAAAAAAAAGTGTAGCTGCTTTGGCAGGATTGTTAACACTTCAGGATTCATTTTCCACAATAACGCCCCTGCCCAGAGAGCTCTGGGAATTACAGTGGACAATGGGGAGGCATTCTTAGGAGGGTCTAATGATGGAATAAAAAGAAAAATATTTATTGCTTTTGACAGTTCCACAAGGGGCAAAAATCCTTGTCGTGGCTAAAGTTTCCCTAGTATTGGAGAAAGGCTGCTCACTGGGACTCAAACAGTTCCACTTCCTTTGTTAGGAGGCTGAGTACCAGAGCCAAGCTGGGAAATTAAAGATTAAGTTCATTAAGGTAAGATAATTGTGTGGAGGCATTGTTGTTGATACAGGTGGAGTGATGGGGGCTGGGGTAGGAAGCCCATTTACATGTAGGGACAACCCATTAAACAGGCTTAATAGACGTGCAAGGCAAATATGTTTATTATTTGCCTGATGGCTGACCTATGCTTTCACTGTTACATTAGTCAACAGGCCCCCCCATAGGAGGGCCAGGATTCCCTGCCAGGAACCAGGTGGAAGAGAAGGCAAAACAGACTCCAGTGAGCAAAGATACAGTCCTGTGGGCCCTTGGAGAAGACCAGCCTTCCTTCTCCCTCCAATGCCTTGTTCTCCTGCCACCTGAGAGGACCATCGCTCCTCTGGCTAAGGAGAGGAGACAGTGCTCTCGAACCTGAAGGATGTCTTTAGATCTTTCTGGATGCTCACAGGAAATTTTTGGGCAGAAGTGCCCTTTGGATGCCCTTTTTAGAGAAGACCTCACATTCTCTCACTCTGATAGTAAAATTTTGCATTAGGGAGCTTCTCAAATGCTTCCTTCCCCAGTGTTACTGACCTCCTCAGAATTGGACTTCGGGGAGTCTGGACTGCCTACCTTCCATTTCATTCTTCTAAGAAAAACAAACCAAACATCATTCCCCCTCCGGCCCTATCCATCCTAAAGGAACAGATCCACCCTGCTTTGTTATTGAAAACTGGAGTTTGGCTTTGTTGGGAAGAGATCCACCCTGCCCCCTTTCCAACTTGGAGACCTATAAATACTGAGAACTTTAGAAAAACAAAAACAGAACAAAAGTATGGACTGGATGGTGGAATTTTAGGGAGCATGGAGATCTGTCCTTTCGATCTGTCCCAAGGGAGGGAGAAGGTGGAGAGAGAGGGGCCCAGATTGTGCCCAAGTGGCTGAGAAGGTGCCTGGTGCAGTGCAAGGAAAGCATTTCCTCGCCAACACCCTTATTTTCGCTGTGTCTTGGGCAGTAGGAGAAAGATCCGCATTTACTTTCGGTAGGGTCAATAGTTCATCATCTCTGGTGCCTCCACTTATTTTTTTTCTATTTCTGGCGAGGAACTGAGAAACACAGTAAAGGGTTGGAGATGTCTTTGATAACAGATATTCCGAAAGAAATTCGCTTGTTTATTTGCGCGATAGCGTCACCTCTTACACAAAAACTCACCTGCCGTCCTCTTTCCCTTCCTGCCCTCCTGTCCCCCTCTGAGGAAAATAAACAGTGGCATAATGATTTTGGTAAATAGACTTTTTTTAAAAGCCATCTGATCACGGGGAGACATTCTAAGAAGACCCTAGGATTTAGTTAGTGCTGGTGTATTAAAAAAAAGACTTAATTTTAGAGAGGTTTATTAAAAATATATGTAGATACAATCACATGGTGAGAAGAGTTTCAGGAGTTAAGAATAAACATATTTTGATTCATTCAGATTGTATGATCTCTCCCTACTTGTTGCTGCTGTTATTTTCTCTGAACAGAAAGATTGTTGATTTCCTTTAGCTCACCAGGCATCCATATTGTAGAGTGATGCGGAGAGTCCTTTGGTTATTTTCATAGATTATATCAGAGAAGTTTTTGAATGAAACATTTTCAGTAGTATGTTATCTGTGGGTTTGAGTAGAACTTGAAATAATAAGCAAGCAAGCAACATTTACCAATGTTTTTTTCCTCTTGTGTTGATGTCAGGAGTTCTCTTTATTTCTATAAAGCGTCCTTTGTCCTTGAGAATGTTGAATAGACTTCTTACAAAAGTTATCAGAGACCAATCTGATAAATCAGAAGAGAAATTAGGAACATCTGAGTTATTTTCTAAGATGGGTTAATGAAGAGATGAGGATTTGCATTTTCTTTTAAAGACCTAAGAAGGGAGGCAGGCTCCTCGGCTGTTACATTGTGATTTATCAGAAAGCAGAAAGGAAAATTTCATACAGACCAGATTCCAGGCTCCAGGTTACTCGGAATATATTAACTTTTTGAGAACAAGTGTGTAATCACTGGCCTTTAAGGACTAAAAATATAGCTTGAAAACCTTGTACAATGTCCTCAGAATGTTTGTGTGCAGGGAAACATTTATCTCCATAAGCAGCCCTTTAACGGAAAAGAAAAACTGTTTTGCCAATAATCAGAAACGAAAAGACTGCTCTCTAAACCGGAAGAAACGACATTTATATTTTCAACTCTACTGAATTGAGATTGTTAAGAGGCTTTTTCTTTACTGCATTAAAAAAAAAATAGCCTGTCATCACATTGTCATAAAAGGAGGGAAGTCTCATTTTGTAAATTATTTACAAGTTTGACATCTTTAGAAATACCACCTTGAATCTGGAAACAGTGATTGAAGTTGATGAAGAGATGGGAATGGAGGGACCGTGAGTCTGTCTTCTGGCACTTGGAACACATCTCGGATGGGGAAGAAACCCAGAGACTTCTTTCTCTTCCTTCCC